CATGCTACTGGCTAATAATAAAAGATTATGCGAGCTAGTCATCAGGTACCACTCCATTAGTGATAGAGGAGTTATTAAAATTTGTAAGGCACTTGAATACAACTCTACACTCACCATATTAGACCTCAATAATAATCCACTCATCACTTCTACTAGTGGACGGGCTCTGTCTCACCTCCTCCTCAATAAATCATCACTAGATGTACTGGATTTAAGGCATACTTCATTGTCTACTGAGTCTGTACTACACATTTTCCGGTCATTATCAGATGATACAAAAATAAGAGAGCTCAATTTAGACTATCAACACAAAGAAACTTGTATTAAAACTTATTCCAACTATCACCGCATAGAAGACATAGTGAACTGGTACTAGTCACCCTTTTTGTGACTTTAGTTCTTATTGTATCTAATTAATCCATATTATAAGCGGCCAAAACAAAAGATGGAATGCGTCACAATTATGTCATTGTAAACACTGATAGTCACATACCATACAAGATGATTTATTGGCGAGGAATTAATATTGGCAATTGGCAGTTTTATGAATAAATTGCCAATATAAAATCTACCATTTTGTTTCAATCTGAGCATGCTCAATGGCATGTGACACAGAATTGACAATTTAAAATTTACCAATAACTTTCCATAGGCAAATCCAAATATTACCCTCGCCAATAAATCATGTAAATACTATGTAAAAAGTAAATTAAATTTAAATTTTATTCTACGTCATAAATTTTCTCTATCCACTGGTAGGTGTCAGTTTTTGTGATTAACTATGAACATTAACCATCAGATGATGAACATTAATTAAGCCATAATACAGTCTATCTATGATGAAACACTTAATTCAATACCAAAATGTGTTTTGTTAGAGATTAAGAAATAAAATTAAGTAAGTATGAAATTTAGACACCATAAAATTTTACCAACCCTACAGTATTTAATAAAAATACAACAAATGCAAGTCACTGCTGACATAATTATTCTTAATTTAGACATTAAAGTACTCAAATCATTCTCATCCTCCACA